ATAGATTAGTTGGCTCTGAAACAAATATATACATTTAATTAATTCAAATATATTATATTTGGTTTGAATAAATAATTTCTCTGGGTGTAATAAACGATATAAATCGATTATCTGTATCAAATACATTTTATCTTAGTACTAAATAATTTTTATTGATATCAAATTTTACTTGTTTCAAATACAGAAATTATTAGTTATTCAAATAGAATTTATTTGATTGAAATAAAAATTATTTGGCAAAAATAAATATTTATTTAATAATAATCAAGTATTTATTTGAGTCAAATAAATATTTCCTTGAATCAAATAAATATTTCCTTAAACCAAATAATTTGTAATTTAAGCCAAATTTTATTTGTTTCAAATAGAGAAATTATTAGTTCATATAAAGTTTATTTTATTCAAATAAAAATTATTTAGTTCAAGTAAATAGATATTTTATAATATAGTCAAATAACCAATTATTTGAATCAAATAAATTTTTTTGTGTATAATAATAAATCTACGCAATTGAAATTAATTAAAAATTTATTGTGAGTTTATAATAAAAGATTTTTTCTATTCAATCATATTCAGAGAATAATTTGTTTGAAACAATTAAATTTTATTTTTTAAAAAATAAAATTTTTTTTTAACAACCAAATACATGCTTATTGCTATACAGTTAAACAAACTTTTAGTTGATTCAACTAAATTATACGATTAAAAAAATTTTATTTCAATGAACTGCATTTGACTAAATTTTAATCGTAATTGAAACAAAAATTTTGTTCCTTTGTAAAAAAATATGTTTGATTATTTGTGACGCTCCACGAGAAAAGGGACCTAACGTGCTTTTGACTTAAGGTTCGCTTTTACCGTGCAATGACACAGTGAATGAACCTTAAGTCAAAAGCACGTTAGGTCCCTTTTCTCGTGGAGCGTCACATTTTATCAATCGTATTTGGTTAATTTAAATAAATTTTTTCGGTTATTTATTTTGTTTGAATGTCTTAATGCAATATTTTATACTTATTTTTTTGAAATTAATTTAATAATTTATATAATAAATAAATGAATAAATATTTGGTTAAATGGAACAATAAATCAAAATTTTCTTTCTCTTATAATTAAATGAATTTATTTGAATTCGAGAGAAATTTTTATTTGAATTAATTAAAAATTTTGCAAATTGTGTCAAAATAGATTAATTAAACTGTTTGGTTAATAAGTGAAATTAACTTTTTTTTTTTTTTTTTTTTTTTTAATAGTCGTATCGATTTTTGAAAGACAATAATAATAATAATGTTTGCCTGCGGTTTTAATTGACTTTGGGACAGAAATTTATCGCGATTTTAATGATCGTCACAGGTTGATGGCAAAAAAATGAGGCGGCCACAGTGAGTCAGTGTTAAACGCGACGCCGTGAAAGAATTTGAAATTGCTTGCGCGATTTCATGCGAACCTGTCTCTCTTTTTAACCGCAACGTTCGTTTCTTGAATTGTCCATCGCATTGGTGCGCGCATTGTCACCACTCTCGTATCTTCGGAACAAGCTGCCGGTCCCTTTCGTCTTCTTCTTCTTCTTCTTCTTCAACTTCTTCGAAGAAACCAAACTTCCTCGAAGGGATCTCTTTCTCTGATCAACCTCTACCTCTCGTCACCTTTTTAAACGCCCTTTATTTTTCTTTTCCTGGCATATCTCTCTCTTTATATAAAACAGAATTATCAAAAATATTTTTATTTCAACTTTCTTTATATTATATAGAATTTTCGTTTGTAAAAAAAAATAATTCATTGAAAATAAATAAATGTTGAAAAGATGGAAAAAATTTATATAGGCAACCGGTTTTTCATTTCCGCGAAACGATATCGTAATGTTTGCGATTTTCTTCGGACAAGTCCGATTTAGTTCGAGGGCCTTCGTGATCAGACCTTGTTTTATATACATGAAACACGCGGTGCAGTTCTATAAAAGGGAGGCTGCAACTATCCACCATTATAGATCCTTTCCCCGAGACTCGAGTAGCGGATGCAGTCCGCTCGCCTAACTGGCATTTCCGGTGGTTCCACCATCACTCGACTATATATATATATATATACTCTCCCCACAAATCCACTATATACAATTCAACGAGCGCAATTATTTAGCATTATTATAAAAAAAAATTTATTTGAAAATAACTTTTTCTCCAATATTTTTCGTGCGGTAAATAAATAATCATAATACAATAATAAATAATTTTTTTAAAATAATAAACAATGTTTTAAATTATCTAGTTAAATTATTGAAATTTACTCTTTTTTGAAAATTAGTAAAAAAATTATTTAAAATTATATTACACTGAAAAAAAAAATTTATTTGATACTAATAAATATTTATTTGATAATAGTAAAGTAATCGAGTACAGTGGGACCTCGATTATCCGAACTAACCCAGACAGAACCGGGTTCGGATAATCAAATAAATATTTTTTTCACTGTACACTCACAGAAAAAAGATATGTTTGAACCAAATGTACCATTTTTTTTAATATTTACCCAATTTTTTGGTTAGTTCAAACAAAATTTTTGTTTAATTCAAATAAACATTTATTTGATCTAAATAACTGTTTGGTTTATTTTAATAAACTTTTTGAACAAAGAAAAAATTTGATTGAGCTAAATAAACGTTAACCAAATGTTTGGTTAACTGTATATCAATGCATTTATTTCGTTGATTTAACCAAAATTTGGTTGCTTCAAACGAATTTTTTTCTGAGTGTATAAAATTAAATTAATAAAATTAAAAAGTTATTAAATAAAATAATTTAACACATTACTGTGGATATTATATTAAAAAAAAAATATATGTGATATTTAAAAATTCTAAAATAATTGACACCCAAGGAATATATATATAAATACGTTTCTTGGTATTCAATTCCTAAAGATTTCTTTTTTCCTCTCTGCGTTCGATTATCTCGTTCTTTCTTACTCCTCAACCTTTCTGCAAGAAGAGGCAGAGATACACACACACACATACATATATAAATATATGTATATAGTATAAGAATCAGTATATAAAGGAACCAGCCACGATATATATATATATTGTGAGGAGCCACGTCACGTCCGCTCTCATGCTCGTTCTACGGGATTCAAGACAAGCTCAAAAGCCAGCATGGTTGGATTCCTAGATTTCAATGAAGATTATTTCTCGCCGAAAACTAACCAGCTCCATTCACTGCCTTCATCAATTCTCAATGACTCAAGGCAAAGCAACTTGAAACGAAAATTAAATCCTTTTTTTTAATTAACAAATATATATACAAAATTTAGTTAAACAAAAAAAAAATTATTACCAAAAAAAAATTATTTCCAAACAAAATTAATAGCAAAATAATAATTAGAACGAATAATAATAATAATAATAATAATAATAAAAATTAAAATAATAATAATAATAATAATAATAATAATAATAATAATTAAAATAATAATAATAATAATAATAATAATAAAAATTAAAATTAAAATAATAATAATAATAATAAATAGTTTATTAATGAAAAAGAAGGTATTCATCGGATAAATAAATTTTCTCCAACGTTTCGAAATCAAAATAATTTCCACTTCAGAATGTCTAACAATATAAAAAATAATAAAAAACAAAATTATAAAAGAATTATCATTAATAAAACGACGAAAAATTATCAAGAATAATAATAAATATTAACAATAATTGCCAAAAAAAAACTGTACAGAAAAAAAATAACAAAAATAGAAATTTTTGACAAAAATAAAAAATTATTTACACTGGATAAAAAATTATTTGTTTTAAATAATCATATAAAAATTTATTTGAACCAAATAAAAATTTATTTGAACCAAATAAAAATTTATTTAAACCAAATAAATATTTATTTGAACCAAATAAATATTTATTTGAACTAAATAATTTTTATTTGAATTAAATAATTAAAAAATAAATATTATATTTGAAGCAATAATTTCTGTATTTGAAATAAATATCATTTTTAACTGATTCGAAGAATAATTATTATTCAATAAGAAATGAATATTTAATTGATAATAGTCAAGTAAATGATTATTGGAATCAAATAAATTTTTCTTTTTTTCAGTGGAAGTAAAATGATTAGTTATTAATAATAAAATGACTATTAAAAAAATATACTGCAAATTTATTAGTTTACCATTTTTTTTTTTTTTTTATTAATTTTAATTTATTTTAATTAATTCAACTATTTTTATTAGTTAATTTAACTATTTTGTTTATTGGTATAACTATTAAATTAGTTACATTACCAAATGGCTAGAGTAACTAACTAAATAGTAACAATAGATAATAAAAATTAATTTATTACTTTAAATTTTGCTTATTTTCCATAGTACCACACGGAAAAAAAAATATTTACCTAAAACAGCGAAACTTTTCACTATAGTAGCAAAAATTTTACTTGTTTCAGTTAAATCTTTCGCTATTCTAGTTACTTTTACTAATTCAGGTAAATATTTTTTTTCCTGCATTATTTTTATAAAAAAAAGCTATTACATTATTATTCTTAAAAAAGTTATTTATTTATTTATTATTATTATTATTTAAAGTGATTAGAAATTTTTCATTTTCTGCCTCAATACTATTTTTTTTAATATTAATTATTTTCATAAAAATTGTGAGAATAATTTATTTAAATTTTTTTTACATTCATTGCATTATTTCAACCATTTTTTTTCTATTTCTCTACATATTTTCTACTTTATTTTTAAATTGAATTTTTTATTTTTGTCAAAAATATTATTATTTTTCATTTAACACTCAATTTTAATCACCCAAAACAAAAGGAGAATAATAAACTGAAAAAAAAAATGTTAAATTAAAAAAAAACAAAATTATCATAAATAGTAAATTGTTTTATTACAAAATACTGTTTTAAAATCTCCCTCAAAAACTTGTGAATTTTTTTTTTTTTTTAAATCTTAACACTAAAGAAATTGGTATGTGTGAATGACAATTACAATTTAGTCGACTTTTTTCAAGTATATATTTACAAGACATATACAGAGCGTGTAGGACTTAAAAGCTAATAGAAGGTTTATTTCATTCGGCGAGCCTCTTTTTCTCTGTTAACAGAAATCTCGTGGCCTGTCATATATGTGATTCGCTTATTTTTTTTTTTTTTTTTCACAAAAGTCGCATGTCTCAACTAATGTCCATTTTTCTACAAATTCAGTCCAAGTTTTAAAAAATTAGTTCTGTCACTTTTGTTTCATTTTTTTTTTTTTTTTTCATTTAATTCATAACTTATTGAGCAAGAAGGATCTCTATTTTTTTCAATAGAAAAAAAAGGACATTTGTATAGAGGCAAACAACTTTTGTGTTTTGAATCTCTCGCCATTAATGGATTGGACTCTACCTAACTAGTTTTATTTTATACATCAACATGTCCGCATACAGAGTATAGTAGTTTTTTTTTTTTTTTTTTTTTGTGTTTTGTTGTTATACGCGCTGCTCCACCTAATTTTCAAGCTTGACGCTTGACTATTGTTAGAGAAGAAATTTTTTTTTTTATATGATAATAGGATAATTTCGAAATAAGTTTTTTTTATTGCTCAGGTGGGGCTTTTCTCGCAACGGGGTGGCGCAACGATCGCATTCACTCACACACACACATTCTCTCTCTCTAAAGCTTGAATCCCTTCAGTCCGATTTTTTTTTTAGTCCAAAGCATGTGAGAGACCTACGGAGAATAATTTATTAAATTAGAATTACATTTTTGTTTTAAATACATTAATTTAAAGAAAAAATATGCTCGACATCTATATAAAAGTATATATATATAGCCGAGGCATTTTACAAGTCAGAAGTCCCTATTTTGCGCACACAACATTCACAGCTTCGCGCAATACATAATATTTGACCCCAACTTGCGAGAAAGGCTCGACGACGAATCTTTTTGTTTTTTTTTCGTCCTTTCTGCACTCGCGTTTGGTCGATAGAAGCCTATTCAGTTTCACGTTGACAAAACGTTCGCAAGACTAGATAATACTGGAAAAAAATTAATAGAGTCAACACGACCGTCATTTCCTTCCCTCAGATCCTCTTTTAATTCTTTCACTCATCTTTTACATTTACCCTCCACACATTCCCAAGTGAATGAGATGACAAAAGAAATTGCAAATTTTTTTCTTTAATTTAGTTTAACTTTTTCCATAGTACCATTACACTTTGCCCTTCTAGAGTAGAGTGGGGTAACAGAAAAAAAATATCTTAAAATTTTGTTAACCGTCATCTCACCCACTTTTTTCTCTCTCTCACTCTCTCTCTCTCTCCTTTTCCATTGCCTGTGTGATTATACTCGCGATACGCACTCGAATAAATTAACTGTAGAAAAGTTTTGTTCTTTATACAAATGTAATATACAATATATATTTTAGTTCTGCTTTTTCTTTCATATATAATATTTATATATTTATAAAATATAGACTATCTATGCGTAAACGTTTTTGTCGTTCGAGAGGAGTATATATATATATATACGAGGGCAGCACATCGCGCTATTTCTCCCTGTATTTTTACGCGTGCTGAATAATAAATAAATTCAACATACATTCAAAAACATCAAGTCATTTTTTTTTAATTGTTAAATGCAGCAACTTTAGTTTTATTTTGTTTTTGTTTTTTCCACTCGCGATATATTTGGTCACTCGCGATCACTCGAATCACATCACTTGATCTATTTTTTTCTCACCATTTCACAGCTCGGGCGTTACAGGATCAAGAAGTCGTTTCTCTGGATCCCTTGAGTCTCTCAATACACCAACACCAGGATGATGCCTTCCCAATGTTGTTGGTTCACATCTACAACCTTGAGCCTTGTGCCTCGCGTAACATGCCTCACAAACTGCAACGCAACCCTTGAATGGCCAATAACATAGCAAACAAGGTAGAACTAGAGTTAATGCTCCAAGGCATGCCCATCTTGCCGTTTTTCTTGAACCAGTACACGAACATGGTTCATCGGCACAATTTCCATTCTCTGATTCAACGCCACTCCCACTGTCGGCACAATGATAAAATAAACCCTTAACACAGCACAAACATGATGCATAATCTAAAACAGTTTCGGCTGAACAAAAACACGAATTGTCACAAAGCCAACGGCTGGGTAATGGTGGTGGTTCCCTACACGATTCACAACGACAACGACCACAAAAATCGCACATTATTGATAGTCCAGTTGAATCGGTGCCCCTTGAATTTGGTGATGTTGCATTTGATGGTTCTTTAGTGAATGAAACTGGTTGTTTTGTTATTGTATTATTGCCAACGGGCGCTGCCGATTGTAATAAATGATTTTGCCTACGTAACTGATGACGATGATGACTATTGTGATAGTGTGCAGCCTTTTGTTGTTGTTGTTGTAGTCTCCTTTCGGTTTTTGGACATTTTGGAGTATCGGCGGCTGATAATGTTCTACCTTGATTATTTTGCAGGAGAATTGGTCTAAATGGTGTTTCAACATATTCATTGGCTATTCTATCGCCATCGGGCCTTGGCACTGTGAGTGTGACTTCGCCCATCGGACTCCTGGATGACTCGTTCGTGGAACGATTTCTTGCGGTGGCAATTGTTGTTGTACCCAATTCTGTTGAATTGGGTAAACTACTGATAATTGTGTCTGCATTTTGAATTCTTCGGGAATTTGTTCGGAAACTATTTGATGAAGATAGTGGTGCAAGGGGTATTGTTAATGGTGTAAAATTTGGCAATCCAGTTGTGTCGGGCAATCTTGGCGGTGGTAGGGGTCGTGTGTGATCGTGGCCGTGTACGCGGGCCAAATTATTTGAAGTGGTTGAAATTGATGATGCGGATGAGGGCGGCCGCGATGGCGGCGATACTGCATTCCGCGACATGGGGAGCGAGCAATCGGTACGGTAGCTCCTTGTACCAAGAGCTAAGGTACGGTTCGTAAGGAGACTGTTTTGATGATGATGGAAGTGATTATCGTGCTGCTGCTGCTGTTGTTGTCTAACGTTCGCATTGACGAGCGCGTCCGTGGTGGATGTGTCTGACCTTGTTGTCGTTGGACTCGGAATTGGTAATCTCTTTGATGAAAGCGACGAACAAAGTGCTCGTTCGCTACCCCATTGTGTTGCAGCCTCTGTTGCTGCTGCTGATGTCGGTGATGTCGCTGGCTGAAATGGCGATGAGTGGGTTGTATTTGTCGTACGCACTGCCCAGCCCGCGCGAGGAGGTAACGTTCTTGGCGACGTCGTTCCATTAGCGAGGGTACAGCAGTGTGCTCCGCGACCGCTTCCTCCCGCCCTCGCGACGCGCGCTTCATCCCCACCTGTAACAAACAAAACAGAAATTCTTTTAGAAAAAAATATTGCCTAACAATTGGACTTTTGTTATTACACATCAAAAAACGCTTTAGGTTTTTGTAAGACCACTTTCAGAATGGAGACGCAAACGTAGACGCAAACGCATCCCAATGCTAATTGTCTGCATTTGCGTCTCCATTCTGGAAGCGGCCTAAGTGGTAATGGTACAGTGGAATCTGCTTATAGCAAGCCAATTTTAAAGTGGATTGATCAGTATCATATTCTAGCAATTCTTTTGGATTTCGTTATTAGTTTGTAAGTGAATTCTTCTGTGGAAGTAAAATCGTAAGTCGAGTATCTGTTTCTGCCAGTTTGGAAAAAACCTACTTTTGAAGTACAGTAACTTAACTTAAGGAAACTCTGTATCATTGAGAAATTTATAGAACCAACGGAACTATGCAGATTTTGTACAGTACTTAGGTACTAATTTCCCAAAGTTTCTACACTGTAAATAGAAGGTACTAAAATAGTACCGATTTTAGGTATCAAAATAGAACTAAATGACAATTAAGTACCTAAAGTAGGTATTAAATGAATACCTTTCGTTTTACAGTGTAATCTATACTTAAAACATATTACAGATTTAGACTCAAAATAAACGCTTTTCTCGTAATTTGTATCAACCATTCTACCACTTCACTGAACTCTCCAACTTTTTCCATCATTTCGATTTTGAAATATCAATCAACTCCAAACTCAAAAAAAAAAGGAAATCATTAAATCAGTATTTATCGCTGTTTTTCCCCCCTGGAAAGAAAAAAAAAAATACATCCGGCGTTCAACATTATACAAATGGATTCCAAGAGTGATCGCGCGACAGAGATGACCGGCTCTTCGGTTCTTTTCTTTTGTGTGTAAGATGCCTGCACGTATATATCTCGTCGAAAGAATCTTATGCGATTGTACTTGTGAAGATAGGAAGGGGCGAGAGCGGATAATATTCGACAAAAGAATGTTGGAAAGGTATATACGAGGCGAGATACCTCAGGTTCAGGTAAAGTCAGTCTCTCCCGAGACCTGAATGAGACTTTTCGAGAATTGAAGCAGATGCACACGCAAGCCGACTATATGGACAGATGGTTACTGCTGCTTCAGAAGAGGTTCGTTTGATCTCGTTTCATTGTCAGGCATCCCGACACAACAGGTATACCCTCTAAACTTCCCAAGAAGCCACATCAGGTTTTTTTTTCTCTCTCTCTCTCTCTCTCTCTTTGCCTTTCCTCCCAATACTTTTACAAAAATTTACTGCACTTTCAATTGGAGAATATTAATATGAATTCACAGAGAAATTAAATCAGAAAGCTTGTTATGATGGACGAAAATAGTAAATCAGACCCCACATGTTGAAAATCAAAACCATGAATTTTGATTTAGATTATCTGAAATATATAGGGGGGGAAAAAAAACAATCATACTTGTAAATATATTAAAACATTCCTGACTCTCATATTTCGCAAGGTGTAAAGCAAAGTTTTGTTAGTCACAACATGAGCCTTTTGTTTCTTGTATCTGCACGTGCTGTTGTCATCCAATAACACTGAGTCATTGTCTTTTAAAGACATACTCTATCTCAATATAAATGAAAAAAATATTCTGATTTTTTAACAAGGAAATGTTTTTGTTGACTCTCAAGATGATAAAATAAAAAAAATCTGACATGAATTAGAATGCAAAATTCCTAATGTTAAACGAAGAGAATCACGATTAAACTAGACTCTGGCGTCTACGCGTGGGCGCTCATCGGACTCCTGGGCGCCTACTCTCTTTTCTCCTGATGAAAATCAACGGTTAAAACATTGCTTGAATCTCTCACGATCGAGACGGCATCGTGATCGTAGTCGTTGAAGACGACGAGGGAGACGGTTTACCAGTGACGAACACCGACAAAACCTCCCACTCAATTCTGAAAATAGTATATCATGCACACCCAAATCTCGCCATCATTTTACGTAATGCATTGATCTCTCTCTGGATTTAATTACGTCAACCCACGTTGATATAATGGTTATCATACTTCATATACTGCTTTTGATTTAAAAGAATGAAGTCGTTCATAAATAAATTTTTTTTTTTCTCAAATGGTGCACGCTACGAGTATGCACGAATGAATCAGCTGTCGTCTATCTATTGACTGTCAGCAGTTGTCCTTGAAGTCTATATTTGTCAATTGAAGTGTATTCAATTCCACACATAAAACAGATTGTGTGTAGGATTTAAAAATGACCTAAATTTCTGGAACAGTATCAATGATTCTCTTCTTTAATGAAGGTTGATCAATGAACATTTATATATATTTTTTTTTCAAAATTCATACTAAACTCATTAAAATTATTGTATAATTTTTAAAAATTCATCTTTAAAACAACGAATAGTTTTTCTTATTGTGTGTTCACATTGCATATATATCCGCGTGACATAAGGCTATATAGAGAAACAAGCAAGCCATTCAAGTAGCTCTGAAAAAGGAATGTATAACTATCGGCTGTCGATTGCCATAGGTCAAAGCTTTTAGTCACTATACAGACAGATAGACGCGAAATTTTGTAAGCGATAATATAATGTGGGAATTGTTTCTGTGTCTCTCTCTCTCTCTCTGGCAATTTTTTTTTCCTGAAGCATTTTAATGCTTATCGTTTTTGTTTTTAACGAGCCGCAAGATAGTCTTTAAATTCTCAGAACAGAGAGAATCTAGTTAGAGAAGATCAATTCAAAAAATTTTGTTTCTAAACGGAAATAAATTCTAAATTCTTCTAATTCGAAAAATTCTGAAAATAATAAATTAATCCAAAAATAGGGTTTTTTTTCTAACTACTTACGAGAAATTCATGGGCTAATCATTAATCCAGTTCGTTATATCCAATTCAATAAACACATATTCATATTTTAAAACTTGTAAAGCAAAAATACAATGTTTTCTAAAAATTATGACTAGAGAGGTTTTTTTTAGAAAAATACACTAGAACAGTTAGGAAACGATTTTCAAATCACACATACACAGGACACACCTTTTTTGCAAAAAAAAAACTGTTATATTTCTAATTAAATCGAAAAAAACAACTTTAGTAAAATATTTTTTCATCTAAATGAAAAACAAAAAATATTTTATGAAAAATGAAGAAAAATTGGCAAAGAATTTGAAAAATTAACACGCACACCAACAGCCGACAGGCGACTGACTTGGTGAGTTTGTTGAGTAGTACATGAGAGAGAGAGAAAGAGAGAGAGAGAGAAGGGCGAATGGGTGGAGGATGTGATGAGATTCGCAAATGAAGAGTGGGGGGAAAGAGGTATCAAGCTACGGAGAGGCAGGAACGTGGCGCCATCTGCCGAGTTCTCCAAGCAAACACTCGTGTGCGCCTTGAGCTTTTTATGAATGGATGGAAGCTATCATTCAAGTTTCGAGTTGAATGAAAGCATTACCACTGCGTGTACCGTCGTCGTCGTTCCTCCCCCCCCCCCACCTTTTAATATTGTATAGAATGACGATGACGACTTTTTAACGACCATTATTTTTCGGCGGCAGATTCGAAACAACTTCATTATAAACTATCTTTAAGCGAGATATTTCATACCCCACTGCCTATATAGTATCGACACTGTGGATAGATAATGTTACATAGCCGCGAGAAATCTTGTTCACTTCTGTTTTTTTTTTTTTAAACTAATAGAGCTCTTAACGCAGTGATGCATGACACTGTTATTTTTACATTTGTATTGATATACAAAATGCTGATTCTTAATGCAAATAATGAAAATTGTCGATAAAATAAAGCACTCTAAATCTGAATTAGTGAAAATTTCATCAGTGGCTCAGTTTTCTTTAATTCACCAATGGAATTGCTGTGGTTTTTTTTTACTGATTCCCAGGTGAAATTCCATTGGTGAATTGAAAACTGAGCCACTGATTCAGATTTAGAGTGATGATTTCGTAACGAACAATGATTCTAGGATTGTTTACTGAAAGAAATTTTGCAATTATCTTCAGTATACAAATTAAGAGAATATAAAGATCAAATTCGCTTTGGAAAATACAGTTGACAAATTCCATATTGAAACTAAAAAAAGGGTGTTGAAACCGAGAGCGTATATGATTATTGAATCGCAGCTACATACAACTGCTACTGTTACAACCGTTACCGACCTACATTACGAAAACTCATTTTACTCCGCAAGTAGAATTGAAACTTATAGTCTCTCTCTCTCTCTCTCTCTCTCTCTCAACTATTTTGTATCGAGAAAGTTAGATTGCATATTTAAAGTCACGAGAGAAGTTTCTACACCTCGCTACATTCGAACAAATGGTATTCTGGAATCAGAATTCAGTCAGAAATAACAAAAAAATGAAACCCAAAGAAGAAATGGAAAAGAAGTCAATGTTTTCAGGTTTGTATTGTGTAGCAAGGCCCACAGGAAGGTCGACTGCCGCAATCGGCGCATGCGCAAGGTTCAATCCTTACGTGAAACGTATAGAAGACATGATGACGGTGTTGGTATCGACATGACGTGATAGTTCCCGTAACTATATAGCATGAATTAACTGTATCTAATCTAAAAAAATATCCAGTGGGACTACTTTCTACTGTGTGTGTCTGTGACTCATCTCATAAATGTAAAAGATCATTTAAAAATAGAATTCTTATTGTTTGCACTTTTTTGCATACGTCAAGATTTCATCTTCCTTCCTCAATATTCACTCAAAAATATTATCAAGATTGACATTTTTCCAGTATCATCGGTTGTTGACCCATTGGCAATTGGGTTCAATATTTATGTTTTCTTTATGCCGAAGAGGATATATTGTATATAATAGCGAGTAATCAAACCAAAGTCAAAGTTGATGTAAAATAACAAGTGGCGAATATAAGTTTAAAATAACACATCAATTCATTCACAAGTATTGCTCGCGGCTCATTGTAACAGTACTCTTGCGTATATCCAGTAGCTGTTTAAGTATATGACCTTCGAC